GTTATTCTACTCTTAACTTCCATATTCCATCTACTCTACCATAATGCCAATAATTATTTATATTATATTTAATAGTTTTAATCTTTGTATTATCAACGTCAATACTAAAATCATATTCAAGACCTTTAAATGCAAAACTTTGTTTTTGCCTTATTTTACTAAAATACCATTTCATCATTTCTATATCAATTGGTAAACAATTAGTCAATATTTGGAGAGCAGCAGTAAAAATTGTTCTATATCCTTTTGACATCATTATCAATGTAACTCTGAGTCTTCATAAACTTATCTATGATATTTTTAATAGAGTTCCACCATACGTTTATACCATATACCAATATTGGTATCATTAAGAACAATTTGCCTAGAGAAAGCATTTCCTCAGCCACTCAAACATCTTTCTGAAAAAATTCAACATTTTTGGGACAAATCTAAAAGCAATGTGCCACAAGCCTGAATACTCTTTTAAAATTGCTTGACAAGATCCAAATAATACTGGGACATGTTCAATAATGTCCCTAACTCTTAAACGATAATCATTAAACTCCAAATCTTTGGACTCGAGCAATGTGTTGTTCATCTTTGTGTTCTGTCTTCCTCAAACATCTTATACCACTTGAAAATTCTTGTTTTTGATAGAAAATGTTGCAAAAAACGTGTGGTGATGATAGGCTATGTTTTTGTAGCAGTAATTCTGTTATGAATACAAAATTTAATGCACATTCTTTGCTTGATTACACTTAACATTTTGAAACTCGTTGGCACGAAATTCCTTTACATATAAAACAAGCATTTGTTTGTATAAATAAAAACAGATGACGATGAAAAACGACAGCGGCACTCTCTTGCACACATTCAACTTAAATGGACCATTTCCAATACCTTTTGATCACGGCAGTATTTTTGCAATCATTGTTGAAGTTCATAAAATATTAAGTCCACGTATTCAATAATACCAGTTATTTGAGCCAAGATTCTGCCACCATTTCAAAGTGCAAATTTTACTAATCCAGATTTGCAGTTGCTGAAATTTTTCTGTATCTTTGACACAAATATTCATGCTGAAAGCAGCAGCAGCATTTCTAATTTCAGCTATTTCTTTTACAGGAAATATTTATATCTCTTTGTTATGGGAGAATGGAGTGAAATTTTTATTTGAAATGTATCCACGAGATAGATGAATCTACCTCAGTTGTACAGTATTGGAGAAACATCAGATAGACCATTTCCTTACTCTTTCCAAATTACAAACTGTTGATGCAGAGAGAGCTGGATATAACTAAGCATTCATCATTTAACTTTTAAAGATAAGGAATGTCAGAAAAACCATGCAGCTTTTTTCAATAAAAATCCATACAGACTAAGGTCTATAGTATGTAAATTAACCCTTCTACTGACAACTGGTTCTACTGTGCTTGTAGCTTGAAAATGCTCAAGGCAAATATCAGTCAGAGTTCATGGGGAATATTAACTCAATGGGTAAATACTACTGTTGCAACAAATAGTATATTTGGCCTGAGGCCGAATACTGAATATTTGGCCAGAAGCGTGGCCGAATAGCCGAATATTCGGCTTGATTAATGCACATACAAAAATTGGTGCGCAAACCTCATTATGGCAAGGACCCTGCTCTCTATTGGCCCGCTGTCACTATGCTTCGCCAATTGTGTTACTTCTTGACAGTTGTAGCAGACAGACAAGAGCATCATGGCAGTATGCGATATATGATGATATCAAATGTGAATAACAATGAAATGACCTATACATGTAAATAACGGAAAAAGAACAGAGAAGGACCGCGAAGTGAAAATGTGAAAATAAGTATGAAATTGAGTTGATAACATAATCAAACAAGTTGAAGCAGCTTATTGGCATGAAATTTGCAGCCGTCAATGCCAAACAATTGTCGTCGTAAACTTCAGAAAGCTAAATGCTTGTAATGGAAGTCACTTAGCGTGCATGGGCGAAAGCCTGGGACCGTTCAGGCTACTATGGGATTGTTCGGGAATCTGTGAAATCATAACTGTGACATATACCAACATCCTATCTGTCTCTTTTCTCCGTTATCATCAGGCTGTGAGTCACATAATTATAAAATTGAAAAACTATGACAGAAAAGTGATGAATCGAAAGTATCGTGGGCATGTATTATGATGTATGCATAGTCATACGTGGACTAGAGATATGGAGGAAAGAGAAAGGATAGAGGAAAGACAAGCGCTTAAAAAGGATAGGCAGGGTCAGACCCTCACAGGTGTGCGACAATTCTCAAACGAATAGGTGTGTACATGTGCTGATCTTTGTAATTATAAATTGTGAATACATGTGACTATTATTATTTTTTTTTATTTTGTGCATGTTATAAGTTATAAATAAATGTAAACAAACAACACTAACCCAACAACATTAAATCTAAATATCAAAATGATTAATTTACTGTGTTTTTGTTATTTCTTACTCCTGTTTTTAGGTATTCGGTATTTGGCCGAATAGCGAAAAATAAGCCGAATACCGAATAGTAACCGAATATTTGTTACATCACTAGTAAATACCCTTCACCAAAATTTGAAGGGGTATTTTACCCATATTAGAATTTAGCAATAGCACATAGCTACATTAAATAGAATTAATGTAGTTATAGGATTGTGGAGGCAACTCATTCACTACCCAATCTGAAGGGATTACAGCTGTAAAGTCTGAATGTATGGGATTGTGTTTTCTGTTTAAATTGCAGCTTAGTGAAAAAATAAAAAAATGCATGAAGAAAATATTAAGTAAGTCAAAATGAATGCCAAATGTTTGCTAACTTTCGACTTCAATTTTTAAAATTTCTCTTGAATTTAATTATAGCTTCTGAAAAATTCATGTTGCACTTTAATTTCTTCCATGTAAAAAGACAGTTCTTTACATGATATATTATTCAGAATTTCCACGTTTGTCACGAAGTCTATTTCCTCTCTCACACTTGTTCCTGTTTTGAGTTGAAAACCTCCGCTCACAGGATGCTATGGAAAATGGCAATATATGGGCAATAATAAACAATTTTCGAAATTCTAAGTATAAAGGTTCACTGGCATCACCGTCGACTGTAGCTTCACAAATTATTTTGCTGAAGTCGGGGAACTTCATAGCATTATATTTTTCACAAAGATACTTAACTTAATGAATCTAGTCTGCTCTGAGTCCACTCTCTTGTGGTAAAGAGTTAGAATAAATGTTTTGGAGTTCATCTTTACATTATATTGAGATAATTTTTTTGAGTGCATCATCATGTGTTGACAGGGATGGCAATGACGCTGCATTTAAAGTTAAGTCAAATGCTTTGAAGAGCTCCATTGTAGAACTATCAAACCATTCAGATCATCAGTTAACATATTCAGAAATCTGTCTTTATTTTTTTCAAAAAGTTCCTTTGCTGATGATGAAATGTGTAATTTAATATCGTGATAGTATCCTTCCTTATTTTGAATTTCAGCAATGAAGCTTTTCAACTTTGGACCATAAATAGTTTTCATCATTTGGAGTCTATGTTTGGATGTCTCAACTCTTTCAATTACTTTTATGAAATTTAAGTTATTTGACTGAAAAGCATGAGAGAGTTTATCAATTATTTCCAGATCATCATAAAGTAAACACAGTAGAGCTATAAATGAATAATCAGTTGTTTTCAAAATTCCAAATGCCTTGTCATGGCATTTTTTCTTCCAGATGATTCACATTGATTTTTGAGTACTAAAACAAGAGCATCATAACTTTTAAATAGAACATAAACTGCACAGCCTTGTGAAAGCCATCAAATGGAATGCTGTAACTTTAAAGTTAAAACCTTCTCTTCCAGTATCTTTTGCATTTCTTGTAGCTCTCCCATGATAATGTGTAAANAAAACCATGCAGCATTTTTCAATAAAAATCCATACAGACTAAGGTCTATAGTATGTAAATTAACCCTTCTACTGACAACTGGTTCTACTGTGCTTGTAGCTTGAAAATGCTCAAGGCAAATATCAGTCAGAGTTCATGGGGAATATTAACTCAATGGGTAAATACTACTGTTGCAACAAATAGTATATTTGGCCTGAGGCCGAATACTGAATATTTGGCCAGAAGCGTGGCCGAATAGCCGAATATTCGGCTTGATTAATGCACATACGAAAATTGGTGCGCAAACCTCATTATGGCAAGGACCCTGATCTCTATTGGCCCGCTGTCACTATGCTTCGCCAATCGTGTTAATTCTTGACAGTTGTAGCGGACAGACAAGAGCATCACGGCAGTATGTGATAAATGATGATATCAAATGTGAATAACAACGAAATGACCTATACACGTTATATAGAGGACTGCGAAGGACCTCTACATGTGTATAGAGAAAAACCGCAAAGTGAAAATGTGAAAATAAATATGAAATTAAGTTGATAACATAATCAAACAAGTTGAAGCAGCTTATTGGCATGAAATTTGTGGCTGTCAATGCCAAACAATTGTCATCATAAACTTTGGAAAGCTAAATGCTTGTAATGAAAGTCACTTAGCGTGCACGGGCGAAAGCCTGGGACCGTTCAGGAATCTGTGAAATCATAACTGTGACATATACCGACATCCTATCTGTCTCTTTTCTCCGTTATCACCAGGCTATGAGTCACGTAATTGTAGAATGGGAAATCTACGAAGGAAAAGTGACAAATCGAAAGTATCGTGAGCACGTATTATGACGTAAGCATAGGCATACGTGGACTAGAGAGATAGAGGAAAGAGAAAGGCTAGGCAGGGTCAGACCCTCACATGTGTGCGACAATTCTCAAACGAATAGGTGTGTACATGTGCTGATCTTTGTAATTATAAATTGTGAATACATGTGACTAATATTATTATTTTTTTTATTTTGTGCATGTTATAAGTTAATAGTAATGGTAATTAACAGTAAAATGGTTAATAGATTGAGAACAAATAACTAAAAAAATGCAAAAATTTGTGTCATTTTGAAGGAACACAAAACTTACCTGACAAGTAACCACAAGTGTGTGACACAATTGAGTTTTTCCTGTCCAAAATTCACCAAATATTTCTGTTATGAAACCATCTTCGATGCCACCTATTCAAAAAGATTACATATAAAATTTCAAGTCACTAATTTAAGTAAAGAAATGCATTAAGAACACAAATAAATTTTAGTATTACCTCCTAATAACTTATCTAATTCTTTAGATCCTGTAGTGATTTGAATAATTTCTGATCTTTTCTGTTCCAATTCTGTGGCTGTCGTAAATCCCATCGGAACCATTTTCATGGCCTCCATCTAAGAATGATCAAAATATATTATAAGAGACAAAGTTATTTGTTTAAATGAAGACGATGAGCAAACCACATACCAATATTTTATCCGCCTTTACTTCGCTGATTCTCTTTATGCTGATCAGTTGCTTTTTTGGTGCAAATGCAACTGCTTCTACAGTATGAAAGCCAGCTGTTTCTAATTTCTTAATATCCGAGGCATTAATACCATTTCCCTAAATTTTTATAAATAAAACTTAATAAACCTTTTGATAAATAAATAAATATTATAAAATAGCCAGTTTAAACATAGTAGATATGTACCTCTGAATAACCTGGGAACTAATAGAAGATATATTAAGAAAAACTGAAGTACCGAAAGAAGANCAGAGAAGGACCGCGAAGTGAAAATGTGAAAATAAGTATGAAATTGAGTTGATAACATAATCAAACAAGTTGAAGCAGCTTATTGGCATGAAATTTGCAGCCGTCAATGCCAAACAATTGTCGTCGTAAACTTCAGAAAGCTAAATGCTTGTAATGGAAGTCACTTAGCGTGCATGGGCGAAAGCCTGGGACCGTTCAGGCTACTATGGGATTGTTCGGGAATCTGTGAAATCATAACTGTGACATATACCAACATCCTATCTGTCTCTTTTCTCCGTTATCATCAGGCTGTGAGTCACATAATTATAAAATTGAAAAACTATGACGGAAAAGTGATGAATCGAAAGTATCGTGGGCATGTATTATGATGTATGCATAGTCATACGTGGACTAGAGATATGGAGGAAAGAGAAAGGATAGAGGAAAGACAAGCGCTTAAAAAGGATAGGCAGGGTCAGACCCTCACAGGTGTGCGACAATTCTCAAACGAATAGGTGTGTACATGTGCTGATCTTTGTAATTATAAATTGTGAATACATGTGACTATTATTATTTTTTTTTATTTTGTGCATGTTATAAGTTATAAATAAATGTAAACAAACAACACTAACCCAACAACATTAAATCTAAATATCAAAATGATTAATTTACTGTGTTTTTGTTATTTCTTACTCCTGTTTTTAGGTATTCGGTATTTGGCCGAATAGCGAAAAATAAGCCGAATACCGAATAGTAACCGAATATTTGTTACATCACTAGTAAATACCCTTCACCAAAATTTGAAGGGGTATTTTACCCATATTAGAATTTAGCAATAGCACATAGCTACATTAAATAGAATTAATGTAGTTATAGGATTGTGGAGGCAACTCATTCACTACCCAATCTGAAGGGATTACAGCTGTAAAGTCTGAATGTATGGGATTGTGTTTTCTGTTTAAATTGCAGCTTAGTGAAAAAATAAAAAAATGCATGAAGAAAATATTAAGTAAGTCAAAATGAATGCCAAATGTTTGCTAACTTTCGACTTCAATTTTTAAAATTTCTCTTGAATTTAATTATAGCTTCTGAAAAATTCATGTTGCACTTTAATTTCTTCCATGTAAAAAGACAGTTCTTTACATGATATATTATTCAGAATTTCCACGTTTGTCACGAAGTCTATTTCCTCTCTCACACTTGTTCCTGTTTTGAGTTGAAAACCTCCGCTCACAGGATGCTATGGAAAATGGCAATATATGGGCAATAATAAACAATTTTCGAAATTCTAAGTATAAAGGTTCACTGGCATCACCGTCGACTGTAGCTTCACAAATTATTTTGCTGAAGTCGGGGAACTTCATAGCATTATATTTTTCACAAAGATACTTAACTTAATGAATCTAGTCTGCTCTGAGTCCACTCTCTTGTGGTAAAGAGTTAGAATAAATGTTTTGGAGTTCATCTTTACATTATATTGAGATAATTTTTTTGAGTGCATCATCATGTGTTGACAGGGATGGCAATGACGCTGCATTTAAAGTTAAGTCAAATGCTTTGAAGAGCTCCATTGTAGAACTATCAAACCATTCAGATCATCAGTTAACATATTCAGAAATCTGTCTTTATTTTTTTCAAAAAGTTCCTTTGCTGATGATGAAATGTGTAATTTAATATCGTGATAGTATCCTTCCTTATTTTGAATTTCAGCAATGAAGCTTTTCAACTTTGGACCATAAATAGTTTTCATCATTTGGAGTCTATGTTTGGATGTCTCAACTCTTTCAATTACTTTTATGAAATTTAAGTTATTTGACTGAAAAGCATGAGAGAGTTTATCAATTATTTCCAGATCATCATAAAGTAAACACAGTAGAGCTATAAATGAATAATCAGTTGTTTTCAAAATTCCAAATGCCTTGTCATGGCATTTTTTCTTCCAGATGATTCACATTGATTTTTGAGTACTAAAACAAGAGCATCATAACTTTTAAATAGAACATAAACTGCACAGCCTTGTGAAAGCCATCAAATGGAATGCTGTAACTTTAAAGTTAAAACCTTCTCTTCCAGTATCTTTTGCATTTCTTGTAGCTCTCCCATGATAATGTGTAAATATTTTAATTCATCTACATAAGCTATTACTGTAATTGTATCTTGTACTCTAGTAAATGCTTCAATGCCTTCTGCTGCTTGGCTCACACACACAAATAGTTTATGAGCCATACAGTGAATGTTATACACTGTATGTAATGGACTTTTGTTTTTGAGTTGCACACCTACACCATTGATTCTGCCAGTCATAATAGCTGCTCCATCTGTGCCAAGTCCTAAAATGTTAGTTAATGGAATTTTTTTTCTCCCAAAAACTGACAAATCATTTTCATGATGTCATCAGAATTGCATTCCATGCAAGATGGTATAGTTAAATTTGCCCAGAAGTGTATTTCAAGTTGCTGTTTAAATAATTTAACAAAGATTATCAGCTTCTTTGATACAGCTACATCTGTAGACTCATCAATCAACAATGAAATAAAAGGGTTATTATTTATATCCTTTTCAAGCTGCTGTGTGAAAACATCAGAAATGCATGCAAGTTTCAATCTGTTATTCAACTATGATGTAAATTGATATAGGACTGTGTTATACATTAAACTGCATTGGCTTTTTGTATCATCATAAAAGCCTGGTATTTCCTGTCCAAAATGTCTTCTTTGGCTACTGTATAAACAGTCCAAAACACAACAAGATCCCATTCACTGACCTGATCTGCACATTTATCAATATGAGTCTGCATTTGTGCTATTTGCACTTTTATGTTCACTAGTCTGTTCATGATGGACAAAATTCAAGTGTTGTAAGTTTGGCTGCCATAACCATCTTATTTCCTGCATCTCTACATAACTTAACAGATAGCTTTTCCATTCACTGAATTGTACAAAATCCATTGTGCCACTTACTTAAAAGTACAGATTTTGGCTTTTTAACTTCAGAAACAGACGGTTCACTCAATGACATCAATGCATGAAGTACAATTTCAGCTTCTGGATTCACATATTCATCACCTTTTTTCCATAGCAAAGCAAGAGTTATTTGTTTTTTCTCGACAACATATTAGAATTAGCAGCGAGATAAAAAACAACGATTGAGCGCTGATAACAATCTCGTGGATCTGCTCTGCTCAAGCCTTTGACTAGCACATCTCCCAAAAACACTGTTTGTGTCGTCACATGATTTCAGCATGAGGCTAACAAGAAAGTCTTTCTCATCAAGCCTCGATTTCAGAACAACCAAATTGTCACATCATCTTCCATGCATTCTTATATTCAGCACGCCTTGCAGTGCTTTTAGCACATATGTTCAATTATTAAGCCTATTGTCAGTACGCTTAAGGTGTGCTTTCAGCATACTGGCAGCATCTCTCAACTACGCTAACAATAGTGCTTACAAGATGGATGCCTCCATGCAAAAGTATCTTTTTCGACTGCCAAATAATAATCAATTTTTTGCTATTTTAAAAAATAAATTTAATTTTTGCCTTTTGATTCAAGTAATTTTTTAAAATAACCTTGTAATGGATAATAATAAAAAATTCTTATTTTTTATTACTATTATTTTTGTTTATGAAAACAACACTACATAGCCATTTTGATATAACTGAATCAAAAGTTTCAGCAAAAGTGTTTCCAATATTCATCAACAATAACATCACTGCCGATAGCAACTGCTCAGCACACTAATGAATAAAAGACTGCATGGCTTGCTAGTCTCGGCGACAACACAACGATGTCAAACATATGAAACTAGTTGCAAGCACAAAAACATACCAGTGTTGCTGTCTTTTTAGCAATTTTGCTTTGAACTTGTTTTTTATTGTAAGATTGAATTTGGCTGTCAGTTTACATACTAAAACAATCATCAGTTTAGAATTTTTAAAACTCAAATTTTCTTAGATTTCTCAATTTTTGGACAGGTAAAAATACCCCCATGCTGAAATTGGGAGGGTAAATTAAGATTTTAGGGGTAAAATACGTGCTATGGCGGGTAAATGGAAACACTGGCCACTAGACATATATTATTTTAAAATTTGTTAAAAATTCAATTTTTATCGTACCATTTAGGAAAGAATNTTATTTACAAATAATAATGTATTAAAATAACAAGTGCAAATAAGAAAATTATTTTTTTATTTAAATTTAGTTTAGATAAATGAAATGTTTAATCACAAAAAAACATAAATAAATAAAAGAGTACTTCTCATATTTTAACAATAGAATAATGTAAGTCCTAAAAGCAACCATCTTTGATTGGGATCAAATGGACAGATGATTTTGATTCATCCCGAGATCTAGGTTCCAATTTCGTTACATTTAGTAAATGAGTGACGACCAATTAGAAAGCAGATATGAGTAGAAACAACCAATTGAAGTGGTCGATCTGGAACCAGAAAGTTATAAAAATCAGAATTTCAAGGACATGGAGAGAGAGCTCTTTATTGCTTCCTATTGTGCCACACCTTACTTGGAAGAATTATCTTCACCCCAACTCAAAACAGTACTAAACATTCTTCTACAGACTTTCTTACAGTCAACAAGGCCATCAATTCCAAAAAGAACATTGAGGAACCTTTCTCTTAGGACTGTCTCAGTAAGAAAAGAAACCTGAAGATTTAGTCTCCACTAACAGATCGAAGAATATTGTTGCTGTAAGCTATATTTTTAAGTTACAATAAATCAGGATGAAATTTATGTAACTGGAAAGTTGTCTCTGTACCAAATGCACTTACTTACGATTCGGAACTACTCGGATATCCTGTTATTACGCACAGATCGATGACCACGAAAATATTCTAAATTTAAGATCGTAGCAAGAGATGTACAGGGTGATTATAATTAAAGTTCTGCTTTCACAATGGTCTGAAGTAAGAACTATTGGTCAGAATGACTTGACATTTTGTTTGAGTATCTGTGAAGCAATGGAATTTTGTTTGGCAAAGAAAAAATTTAGTTCAAACATTTGCTGCTAGGGGACAATTTGTGCTTTATTATAGTGGAAAGCAATACAAAAGTAAAAAAACATTTACAAATGACAAAAAAATGTTCAATATGATGTCCTTTCCATTCTAATACAAACTGAAATCACAGAATAGCATGTTCAACGACAGATCTGAGTGTTTCTGTACAGATGATGTGGATATGATGTCACGTAGAAGTAATTTGCATCTTTTGATGCAAACTACTTATACAGTACACATCACAGGCCACCCAACAGTAAATTTTTAAACTAAATTTTTTCTTCACCAAACAAAATTCCATTGATTCATGGACATTCATGCAAAATGACAAGCCAATCTGACCAGTAGTTCTTATTTCAGACCATTGTGAAAACAGAACTTTAATTATAATCACTCTGTATTTTCAATTTACCTAACATTGTCGTAATGTAATTATCCGTCACTACATGAGAAACTGACAATAATCTCATTATTACTAGATGAGAATTGACTTTTTTGATGCTACATTTTGTTCATCTATAGTCAATGTATTAGTGTTAAAATTAATATATAATAGACTCACAATTATCTCCAATTGCATTAACTAGGATGCTAAGAATGCCTACAAATGAGTCAAGTCAATACAAACTGCTTTCTCTTATCCACTTTGCAAGCTAGGCAGAATGGAAAGGGAATGACACACTAAGCCAGCAATTCCCAAAGTGGATGCATCCACTCCCTTGATGATAGTAGAAGACTCAAGGGGTGCTGGAAGGCAAAGGGTAGGAGGAATAGTGGAAGACAAGGGAAACAAATATTTTTATTTTTTAAATGATGTTATTTAAGAAATATAAGCACTAAAAAGTGGCATTGGTCTGAAAAGTTTGGGAAACACTGCACTAAGCCAGTGTCCAGTTCTATTCATCTTTAACCAATAAATGTTTTTTTTTCTTTTTTTTCAAATTTTCACTTGTGTTCACATTAATTTGCACAATACTGTATCTTAAAAAGACCAATTTTCATCTTTATTCATGTTCATTATATGTAAAATATTATCAGTTTCATCTCTTAAATAATCACATTCAAACAAAAATTTCTCCAAAGTAACCATTTTTCCACATTCGCACATGTCACTTTCAACCCACAAAAACTGATAAAAATTTTGCTGGAAATATCCATGCCGACTCAACAACTGGGTATTATAATAAGTCAATTCTATCCAATTTTTACTTACTCTTTGTTCTACTGTAGGGAAAAGCATTGATGTTATTCTACTCTTAACTTCCATATTCCATCTACTCTACCATAATGCCAATAATTATTTATATTATATTTAATAGTTTTAATCTTTGTATTATCAACATCAATACTAAAATCATATTCAAGGCCTTTAAATACAAAACTTTGTTTTTGCCTTATTTTACTAAAATACAATTTCATCATTTCTATATCAATTGGTAAACAATTAGTCAATATTTGGAGAGCAGCAGTAAAAATTGTTCTATATCCTTTTGACATCATTATCAATGTAACTCTGAGTCTTCATAAACTTATCTATGATATTTTTAATAGAGTTCCACCATACGTTTATACCATATACCAATATTGGTATCATTAAGAACAATTTGCCTAGAGAAAGCATTTCCTCAGCCACTCAAACATCTTTCTGAAAAAATTCAACATTTTTGGGACAAATCTAAAAGCAATGTGCCACAAGCCTGAATACTCTTTTAAAATTGCTTGACAAGATCCAAATAATACTGGGACATGTTCAATAATGTCCCTAACTCTTAAACGATAATCATTAAACTCCAAATCTTTGGACTCGAGCAATGTGTTGTTCATCTTTGTGTTCTGTCTTCCTCAAACATCTTATACCACTTGAAAATTCTTGTTTTTGATAGAAAATGTTGCAAAAAACGTGTGGTGATGATAGGCTATGTTTTTGTAGCAGTAATTCTGTTATGAATACAAAATTTAATGCACATTCTTTGCTTGATTACACTTAACATTTTGAAACTCGTTGGCACGAAATTCCTTTACATATAAAACAAGCATTTGTTTGTATAAATAAAAACAGATGACGATGAAAAACGACAGCGGCACTCTCTTGCACACATTCAACTTAAATGGACCATTTCCAATACCTTTTGATCACGGCAGTATTTTTGCAATCATTGTTGAAGTTCATAAAATATTAAGTCCACGTATTCAATAATACCAGTTATTTGAGCCAAGATTCTGCCACCATTTCAAAGTGCAAATTTTACTAATCCAGATTTGCAGTTGCTGAAATTTTTCTGTATCTTTGACACAAATATTCATGCTGAAAGCAGCAGCAGCATTTCTAATTTCAGCTATTTCTTTTACAGGAAATATTTATATCTCTTTGTTATGGGAGAATGGAGTGAAATTTTTATTTGAAATGTATCCACGAGATAGATGAATCTACCTCAGTTGTACAGTATTGGAGAAACATCAGATAGACCATTTCCTTACTCTTTCCAAATTACAAACTGTTGATGCAGAGAGAGCTGGATATAACTAAGCATTCATCATTTAACTTTTAAAGATAAGGAATGTCAGAAAAACCATGCAGCATTTTTCAATAAAAATCCATACAGACTAAGGTCTATAGTATGTAAATTAACCCTTCTACTGACAACTGGTTCTACTGTGCTTGTAGCTTGAAAATGCTCAAGGCAAATATCAGTCAGAGTTCATGGGGAATATTAACTCAATGGGTAAATACTACTGTTGCAACAAATAGTATATTTGGCCTGAGGCCGAATACTGAATATTTGGCCAGAAGCGTGGCCGAATAGCCGAATATTCGGCTTGATTAATGCACATACAAAAATTGGTGCGCAAACCTCATTATGGCAAGGACCCTGCTCTCTATTGGCCCGCTGTCACTATGCTTCGCCAATTGTGTTACTTCTTGACAGTTGTAGCAGACAGACAAGAGCATCATGGCAGTATGCGATATATGATGATATCAAATGTGAATAACAATGAAATGACCTATACATGTAAATAACGGAAAAAGAACAGAGAAGGACCGCGAAGTGAAAATGTGAAAATAAGTATGAAATTGAGTTGATAACATAATCAAACAAGTTGAAGCAGCTTATTGGCATGAAATTTGCAGCCGTCAATGCCAAACAATTGTCGTCGTAAACTTCAGAAAGCTAAATGCTTGTAATGGAAGTCACTTAGCGTGCATGGGCGAAAGCCTGGGACCGTTCAGGCTACTATGGGATTGTTCGGGAATCTGTGAAATCATAACTGTGACATATACCAACATCCTATCTGTCTCTTTTCTCCGTTATCATCAGGCTGTGAGTCACATAATTATAAAATTGAAAAACTATGACGGAAAAGTGATGAATCGAAAGTATCGTGGGCATGTATTATGATGTATGCATAGTCATACGTGGACTAGAGATATGGAGGAAAGAGAAAGGATAGAGGAAAGACAAGCGCTTAAAAAGGATAGGCAGGGTCAGACCCTCACAGGTGTGCGACAATTCTCAAACGAATAGGTGTGTACATGTGCTGATCTTTGTAATTATAAATTGTGAATACATGTGACTATTATTATTTTTTTTTATTTTGTGCATGTTATAAGTTATAAATAAATGTAAACAAACAACACTAACCCAACAACATTAAATCTAAATATCAAAATGATTAATTTACTGTGTTTTTGTTATTTCTTACTCCTGTTTTTAGGTATTCGGTATTTGGCCGAATAGCGAAAAATAAGCCGAATACCGAATAGTAACCGAATATTTGTTACATCACTAGTAAATACCCTTCACCAAAATTTGAAGGGGTATTTTACCCATATTAGAATTTAGCAATAGCACATAGCTACATTAAATAGAATTAATGTAGTTATAGGATTGTGGAGGCAACTCATTCACTACCCAATCTGAAGGGATTACAGCTGTAAAGTCTGAATGTATGGGATTGTGTTTTCTGTTTAAATTGCAGCTTAGTGAAAAAATAAAAAAATGCATGAAGAAAATATTAAGTAAGTCAAAATGAATGCCAAATGTTTGCTAACTTTCGACTTCAATTTTTAAAATTTCTCTTGAATTTAATTATAGCTTCTGAAAAATTCATGTTGCACTTTAATTTCTTCCATGTAAAAAGACAGTTCTTTACATGATATATTATTCAGAATTTCCACGTTTGTCACGAAGTCTATTTCCTCTCTCACACTTGTTCCTGTTTTGAGTTGAAAACCTCCGCTCACAGGATGCTATGGAAAATGGCAATATATGGGCAATAATAAACAATTTTCGAAATTCTAAGTATAAAGGTTCACTGGCATCACCGTCGACTGTAGCTTCACAAATTATTTTGCTGAAGTCGGGGAACTTCATAGCATTATATTTTTCACAAAGATACTTAACTTAATGAATCTAGTCTGCTC